AATCTTCCTTTGCCTGTAAGTTCCCTGTGCTCTGGTAGCATGTTGCAGGCTCTAAATACAACTTGTTAAACTTGTAGTTTACATGCCTCTTCCCTATATTAATACAACCCCATAGAATTGGATGTGGATGGCTGCCTGGAAATCTCTAACTGGCCCTGCAACTGATAAGAAGCAATTGCCTAGCAGTGCTCATGAGGGAGAAAGAGCTTCAAAAGAGGAAGCTGACCAGTGATGGAATGGCGCCTTGAGGGTGGCTCTAAGAATAAGCAGAAGAGATTCATACATCAGATGAGGAGTTGGACTAGTTTACTTAGAAGATCACATTCTATCCTGAGAGGCTATGTTTAAGAAAATAATGAGGAGATAACCAAGTAGTAGATAATAGGTAAAGTTTTTTTTAAGATCTCCTGAAAAAGGGGAACTCCAAGCCCCTCCCCCCAGCTTTCTTTCTTCGGCATAAAAACGGAAAACAAATCCCCCAAAAATCAAATTAGCATTTTCCATCTACTACAAAAATTAAGCCCAGCATTACCATCTTAAGAACTAACAAATGGTCCAAGAAATAAGTGCATTCACTTGTGAAAAGTTCCCACACGGCCTCTTGCTGCTTTCTTAAGTCTAATTGATCAACGGGAAGTTTTTGATGTGTTTCCACGACTTCATTCCAGGTCTTATCCTGCACATAGGAGAAAAGAAAGAGCAAAACATTTCTGCTTCATTGGGTTGCCCTGTTCATCATTTGCTTTGACTTGCCATACAGCAAGAACAAGCATTCCTGAATCACGGTTTCCTGCTGCAGGTTCCCCATGTCCCTCTTGGCTGTGGCTCCTCAAGCTGCCCAAATCACAGTTCTCGCTGTGTGGCTTTGGGATGCATGGCATATATTATTTTTAGTTTAAATGAAAAGAAATTCAAATTGATCTCGTTTTGTATTATGCTTGAGAATTTCATGAGCCTTTTGCAAGTTTATTGCAAAAAACCCCAAACACAGAACTGGGAAGTTCGGTCCAGGTTCCCCTGGCAAAGTTTGTTGCAATTAACTCCTGAAGAATCATAAAATGAGAGTTTTAAAGTTTAGAGAGACATTTAGAAATGGTCTTCTCAAAACTAACTTATTTTTCGAATGAGGAAATTGGAGCCCTGAGGTAAATAAGAGTAATAACTGTCAAAATTTGTACAGGGCCTCTCATGTCCATTGCTGTATTTAAGATGAAAGGACTTTCATGAGTTTTCAGTATGTATTAGAGAGAGCAGACCTTATTTGGCCCAGCTCCAGACTCCTCTCTTGCACTTTGCTGTTATATGAATAAAGGCAATAAACTAATGATGAAAACAAGAAACGAAGCCATGTCACACAGTAAGCAATTTGTGAGATTACCTTAAGGCTGTGGAACTCATAGTCTCTGAAGTCTGTAATCTTCACAGAGGAAAGGCAGTTTTCCAGATCAGATATATGCTTGTGTTTGTCTTTGCCCTGCTTGAAGATGATTAGAAACAGGATTTTCAAACATGAGTTCTTTAATGACACGACTTTGGTAGCCTCAGCATCTTTTGTACTTTCATTCCCTAACGTACATCAGAATAGACTGCATATTTTGTCTATAAGCCACTAACAGTTGAAAAGCCATGTCCCAGCCACAGCCTGACCCACAGGACCACAGAATGTCAGATCTGGAGGACAGAAGCTGATGAGGATGTCTGATCCAAACTTCTCATTTTACTGGGGGGAAAAAAAAATCCAAGGCTTGGAATAGTTATATAGTAAATAAGTGGACTCTGGGTCTCACACCGACTCTGTGGGGTCATATAACATTTTTCACAGTTCTAACTTTTCCAAACAGAATTATAGGACTTTAGCATCAGAAGGTACCTTGGATGTCTTAGTTCCATCCCTCATTTAGATTACTGAGTAAAGCCCAGAGTGTTGAAGAAACACAATAATTCTCTGCTAAAGAATACTAGAATATGCTAGAAAGTCTAGCTTCCTTAAAATGAAACCACCCATTTATTCTTGTCATTGTTTTTATTTTTAATGATGTTAGTTTAAAAAATTCTGATTATAAAGATAATATATGGTTATTGCAGAAAATTTAAGAAACAAAGAAAAACATAAAGAAAATCAAAGTTACCTGTAATCTCTATCCTCAGATAAGCACTGAAAACCTTTTTCTGATTGTATGTATAATTAATTTTTACTGGTGTCATATTTGCACATTCTCTCATAACTCGCTTTTCAAAATTAATGAATTGTGACTTTTTTGTTTACTCATTCAATATTCTGTTTCAACATCGTGAATTATCCACTTAAAGAGTTCACTTTACCACCTTAACCAAAAAGAAGCTATCATATAATGATGTATAAGGTTTTCTAAAGTCATCTTGGTTGTATTTCAAACAAATGTTTATCACAAATAATTTTTTAACTTGTTCTATTGCCTCAGGATGCAGGATGCTGGCATGGATCTAAGCAGTCTGGTGGAAGTTATTCAACTTAATGTTAGTGAGCAAGAGAAGGCAGGGGTTATCTGCCGTTGTGGGTAGGTAGCAGCCTATGCGTCTGAAAGGAGATCCTATAATATTTTCAGAATATTCTAAAGGGCTGAGGCTGGTTTCTCTGGTAAGGTTATGGCACGGAAAGAGAAGAACTTATTAGAGACTCATTAGCTTCTACAGCAGCAAAGAAATCTTGGAGCAGGTTGGGGACTGCCTACAGCAACTGGGACATACGCCTTTTGTTGATGTCTGAAACCATAGTGACTGCATGATGTAGAAATTTAAAAAATATCAGCAACTAGTTGGAAAATAGAGAAGCTGAGACAATGGAAGCCTCGTTGGAGCTGTGAGAATGTGGGCACTAAGCCTCTCTCTTGAAGGGCACTTACTGTGGCTTTCTATGGTCTTACCAACCTCCTGACCAAAGTGCTCGGTGGATACACCAGTGAGAAGGGAGAGCATAGTCCTCTCCAAGATCACATTAACTCTTCAGAGTAAATTAGAGTAACAACATTATTGGAAGCACAATGTTGCTTTCACTATGGTGGCATTGGCAAGGAGAGACCATGAGAAAATTTGAAGGATATTTGAGAGGATACGGAAAATGAAGAAGAGTAAGAAGCCACGGTCAATTCTGGGGTCTCAAAGTTAGTAACTAAGATGTGAGTGGAATGGAAATTTGTAGTAGGCACTGGTGACATGGAAACAGAGTAAAATGGACATATATGATATGAATGTGAATATACACATTTTAGAGTGGTTGACAAAGAGACGGCATTGAATCTATGAGAACAGACAAGATCTTTGAGAGCACTGATGAGATAAAAGAGGGAGAATTGTCCAGGTCTGGTTAAGGAGCAGCACAGATGGAGGAGAAATTCAATGTTGAGTCTAAAACAGACTCAGAGCCAGATGGCCTGGGACTGAGGGGGACAAATCCCTACCCTGCTACTTATAAGCTGTGTGACCACAGGCAACCTACTCAACCTCTCTGAACCTCAGTTTCATATGTAAACTATGACACACATAAACAGGAACACATGTAAATAGAAACAGTGCCTGACACCATGGTAAACATTATATCTGTGCTTGCTTTTATTACTAATATTGGTATTGCTGGTTGGGAAGAAAGGAAGGAGAGAAGCAAGGAAGGTAAGAAAAGAAAAATCTTGTAAGAGATTGGAAAAATATATTACAACAATGTAGCAGTGTGTTATATTTATATGGATTATCATTTACATAGATATGGATTACAGTATAAATAAGGCTAGAAGGATGAAGGAGTAAATAGACATTAATTTGAAGGACCCATATACTGTGACCTTATGAAAGTGAACCTTCAAAAAATGAATAGCCCTTTATTACTGAGAACATTCATTGGCTGAAACATTTTGTTATTCCACTAATTGTTCTGTCTTTGTGTATCTTGACCACTGCCTACCAACCTGCAACACTGTACAAGCCATTTATCACAATTTTTTTTTTCTAATTTACATGTCGGTCCAACCTTCTCAATTGTGAGATGATAACGGACATCTTGGCATCTTAGGTATCCAGTCCAGTGCTTGGCACCTACCTTGGAGGTTCTGTTGGACAAAGCCCTCAGAGATTCCAATCCCAGCTGCTCCACTTACTGCTCTATGACATTGCCCAAATGAAGTCACCTCTCTCAGCTTCAGATCCTTCTCTATAAAAGATTGGTGATAATGCCAGCCTCACAAGGAGGCTGTGATGAGGAAATAAATGGAACAGCTAGGATGTCTCAGAGAGCTTTTAATTTAGCTACAGTACTTAAAAATTGTCAATGTGTGTGTCAACAATACCTCTGAAGTAGATGTCAGCAACTGATAATAAACTGATTGGAGAGGCCATGTGGACAGATATTTAATAGAATGAAGTACAGTAACTACCCATAAGGCCCTACTATAGCTGCAGTGTGTGCGTATTGCAATTGGTATTGCTGGAAGAACACACAGTCAGTCCTTCCTCTTCCTCCAGTAAAGAAGAGTGAAGAGTAAGGTTGTGGTCAGGAATGCTCCTTCCCTCTACCCCCAGCATACCTGGAGGAAAGGCTGCACTGTGGCTAACTCTTATCCTAGGCAGTAAAGAATCAGGGACCACTGATGTCAATTTATGACTCTTTAATAATTGATGGTACTAAGAATGAATTAAAAGAAACATGAGGATTAATCCAACTGGCTTTCCAAGAAATAGAAGTGTATTTGTGGAATCTGTTTCTGTAATACCTCATTAAATATTCAGTGTTCCCAATATGCACGGTACTGACTGCAAACTGGGGTATACACTTATCAAGTTTACTTTATCGAATGAGCAGTTTCTTAAGCTGTATGAAGTTATAAATTTGGAGTTGTAGAGCATCACAATATTAAGATTGCTGCTGCTGCTGCTGCTGCTTCTTCTTCTTCTTCTTCTTCTTCTTCTTCTTCTTCTTCTTCTTCTTCTTCTTCTTCTTCTTCTTCTTCTTCTTCTTCTTCTTCCTTCTTCTTTTTTTGCAGAGCTCATTAACCACTGGCAATTAGTACCGTTTTACTGCACAAAATGGCTTCATTTGGCATGTTCTGTAGCCACTATTATGAATGTGATGGTATAATTTAAACTTCACATGTCATCTGCCATCATGCAAAGATAAAGTGACTCTTCAGCAATTTCTTGCTTAGCTACAGGAGTCGCAATTAAAACAAAAATTACAATGCACAACACTCACCACTCCTCTCTTGGAGAAAGGCCATCTTGGCTTTTTGGATTCTGGTGGGTGAAATTAAAGAAAATATATTAAGACTTTGAGTACTAGTGACAGATCATTGCAGTGCTTTAAAAAACCTGCTTTTTAAATGAGCAAAGTAGAATTTGTCCTGCTTTACTATCCCTTTTCTTGAGAATGCCCAGAATAAATATTTATATTTATGCAGATGAGTGAATGAAGCAATGTTGCGATCAAAAGTTGGTGTTCCATTGCTACCTGAAGGTGATATTGTCTTGTTTCTTGACTAGAGTGTTGTTTAGCTTTCTTTCCCCCATCACTCAGGGAAAAATCTATAAAATGTAATAAATATGTTGAATAATTTAAAATAGGGTCAAAGGACTTTGGGGCTAAAAGGACTTCATTAGTGTTCTACCAGAAACCATCCCAGCATTTAGCCTGACCAAAGTTGAGATTTGAAGACTGCATCAACCTGATAATCCCTAGGTGTCCCAGGTGTGGGTAAATCCAAACCCCCGAAGTAAGGGAACATCAACACAGACCAGTCTTCGTGTGGGGGGTTTATTATTATCTCTACTAACTGCCATCCAAGTAGTCCTTAGGAGTTGTTTTGAGTTGAGAAGGAAGTCATTATTCAATAACATTGTTTTGATAATTAGGAGTAGAGATAAGATTCTGAACTCTCGATTTTTTTGTTATTTGTATCTATTTGTATTATTACCAAGAAAAAGCTGGAAATCATCTCTTAGGTTTAGGTGAGATGTTCTGATGACTTGATATACAAAATAGATGTCTTATAGGTGTATCTCTCTTTCTGTTAGGTTCGTCAGGAGACTTTGCATAATACTTTAATCAGATGGAGACAATTACTTGAGCAGTATTTACTATAAAGCATGTGCTTGAGGGACTTTTCCTACTGGAAAGCACCTGTCCTTGGAAAGCATTTGTCCAACGGATCTCGCTCTCTGACCACCTTATTGATCTTTTTAAAGGGGATTTCAGGTGGAATCTTCTTTAGATTGGTTCCACTACTCTTATCCCTCAAATGCTTGGTAGTAAATTATTATGTGCAATTCGAACCAGATTAATTGAGATCTCTGGTCTTAAAAAATTTCTCTCCTCTGCTTTTCTAACTTTGGGGATAATTTTAGGGTCTTGGGAAAGCTCCAGAAATATTCAGAAGATTTAAAGGGGTCTTTATTAAATCCATAATCTTTTATTACCCATATTAAATGTTAAGCTTTGTTGAATCGGAATCTCTATTTCAACAATATGTATAAGTGACTCATGCACATCAAAGCTTGGGCAGCACTGTATTAGACCATGATTTGGGGATATGAGAGCTTTCTTCCAAACTCCTTAAGAAGAGGACAAAAAGGAATTTGGTGGGAATGTTGCATAAATTTTACTATGTGGTATCTCTTGTGATGCTAGGCAAACAACTAATTTAAAAAAAAATAATAGTTGATTTAGAAGCAGCACACAGTAGTTATGACCTGTTCCTTAGTGTGGTTCTCAAACCTTAGCTGGCATCAGAATCACCCAGAGGGCTTTTAAAAAACAGATTACTGGGCCCCACCCCTAGAGTTTCTAATTCAGAAGGTCTGGGTGGGAACCCAGAATCTGCATTTCTGACAATTTCTCAAGTAATGATGAAGCTGCTTATCTGGGGCCAGCCTTTGGGAAACAATGCTTTAATTGTTAACCAGTTTAGAGCTTTTGCAAAGCATCATGGAACATGTACTAACTTCTCTTAAGGTTATACTTTGGTTAGAACCAGCTCTAATTTCTACAGCTTGTTATTGAATAGATCACTCAGTCTCTCTTGGTTTGTTCATTTGAGTGACTGTATCATTTGAGATAGTAGATCTTCATTCGGACTGCTGTGACATCTAAAACAGATGTTAAAGGGATCTATAAAGAAGGAAGAACTACATAAACTTTATTTATTTAACCCCATTAACAAAGTTTTTTTTTTTTTAATTTTGCAATTTTTTAAATTAAGTTTATTGGAGTAACATTGGTTAATACAATTATATAATTTTCAGGTGTACATTATAATTTGACATCTATATATTCTATTGTATGATTACCACCTAAAGTCCAATTTCCTTCAGCTACCTTATATTTGATGCCATTTACTCACTTCACCCTCCCCAACCCCTTTATATTTGACCCCCTTTACCCTGGCTATGTCTTCCCTCCTCCCCCACTCCCTACCCTCTGGTAACCACTAGTCCATTGCCCATGTCCCTGAGTCTCTGTTTATCCTGTTCATTTGTTGCTTTTAGGTTTATATCCCACAATATACATGATATCATGTGATTTTCAACTTTTTCTGTCTGGCTTATTTCCCTTAGCACGATTATCTCAAGGACCATCCAGATTGTCGTAAATGGCAGTATCTCATCTCTTCTTATGGCTGAGTAATATTCCATTGCATATATGTACCACAGCTTCTTTAGCCAATCATCTATCATAGGACACTTCGGTTGCTTCCACATCCTGACCACCGTGAGTAATACTGCTATGAATATCGGTGTGCAAATACCTTTTCGGATATGAGTTTCCAAGTCTTTGGGGTAAATACCAATAGAGGGATTGCTGGATCATATGGTAGATCAATTCTCAGTTTTTTGAGGAACCTCCATACTGTTTTCCATAGTGGCTGTACCAATTTACAATCCCACCAACAGTGCACTTTCCTCCATATCTATACTAGCATTTGTTATTTCTTGTCATTGCGACAACATCCATTCTGACTGTGTAAAGTGATATCTCACTGTGGTTTTAATTTGCATCTCTCATGACTAGTGTTGTTGAACACCTTTTCATGTACCTGTGGCCATTTGTATATCTCTTTCAGAAAAATGTCTATTCAGGTTTTTTGCTATTGAGTCGTATGAGTTCTTTATACATTTTGGATACTAACCACTTATCAGATTTATGGTTTGCAAAA